AGCTCAGCAACGAGGAGGCCCTGGAGAGGCTTCTGCAGGCTGGGCTGCGATTAGGCGTGCTAAACACGATGGTGTTTGGTGTTCATTCCCCCAAACCAGATAGCTGAAAGCTATAAGGGGCTCTTGATTCTAGAGAGGGGCAGGCTGTTGTGGTGGCTACTAGCGGTGCTTGGTTTTCTCAAGGTGCATGCTCAAGTTGCTGGCAGTGCTTGTTTGGCGACTCAGCCAGGGTTCTGGTCAGGTGCTTTTGACGTGCTCATGGTGCGGGGGGCAGTTGCTGTCGGTTCTTGATTGGCCATGCAGCCAGCGTGCTGGTCAGGGTGCTGTTGCAATCTCCCATGCTATCTAGGATGTATGCTGGTGTATTAGGCATGTTTATTTATATGGACACCACAAGGAAACCCCTGCAAAAGTCCGTAAATTTTCAGCACCCACGTTGGAAATGGCAAGTTTCTCACGACGCTGGGCATGAGAGCTGGACAAAGCGGATCAGGAGCATGGCATCGACACGAACGACTACCCCCCAGGGGTAATCTCTGAGCTGTGCGACGAGTTGTACGAGGCCGATTGTCGGGTCCTCCGGGTGTTCCTGGTTTGGGGCCCACGTCCGGCAGCCGGGGCCACACGCTGTGAAGCATGCACAGCACCCAGCAACAAATACTTGTATACCCTCCCCAAAGGGCAGATTTTGTGGCCCAAAGCTGTTTATTGAAACATCAAGCGTGGTTGCTGTGATGCGTGTTGAGGCAAGACTCGGGAGAATTGCAGTGATACAACGTGAACCTACCAGACAACTGTATAGAACTTTTGCATGCATCTGAATTTTCTTAGGGGTGCTCACGAGAAAATGAGATTGAGAGACACAAGCCTTGCAAACTTGCGGGAGGACTTTGAGCACGGGTTTGTGTGATTGACGGTGAGCGGAGGGTTTCTAGCAAGGTAGATGCGCAAGTTCCAGGCAGTGCAGCGCCCGTATCTTTTGCGACCGCCGAACAAAAGCTGATTGGAGCAGCAGCTCTTTAAGCGTGTCCCTCGTAGCGAGCCTTGAAGTTGAAGACAATTCCTGCATCTAGCCCTCAATCAAAAACACTCAGTGGTGTGCGACACCCTAAAAGCACGGGAAAATGGACTGTCCAAGGTTCAATCCGAATACAAAGCTTCAAAGCGCTTCAAAGCTCCAGCCCAAAAGCACTGCCTGACAGCTCCCAGGGACCAAGAACCAAGATTTAAGATCGCAGAGAGAACGACACGTGCGTGTTCCATGATTTGTCCGATCCGGATTTGCACACAGCTTAGCCGATTTGCAAATGATGTGGCGGATAGCCTTGAGAAGTTGCTTGGCGCGTTCAGTCCAGCGGAATCATTTGCTAGCTTGGGCCTAGTTGGCTTTGAAGTCTCGAATTTGGGACAACATGTCAACACTCCAGTAATCCAAAGGACAATCGTATTTGTTTGTCTGTCCCCTCATTCCTCAAACTGCAAATGAAGCGTCTTGCAATGACAACAACGAACCTCCAATAGCTTTACTTACGACCTTGCGCTTCTTTCGGTGGCTGATGCGTGAACCACCAATAAGCAACAATGTAAAGTGTTTCCCAACCACCGAGAAGAAACTCTTCTCAGGACCTCGCGACTTTGGGTTTGACCACCTGAAATCCTCGCGACGGGTCCAGTCTGGGTGTTTCCTGGGACGCTCTCTCTTTGCCTGAAAAAGGACCGGTAAAACAGTCATGTTGAATAAGACCAGGTATCCAGTTCGTAGATGCACCCGCTCTGCTGCTGGCGGAAATTGCCATACCCAAACAGCTGCGCTGGTGCACTACGTTTGTTGGAAGATAATGCATGTGTTGCAAGTTGCAAGGCACGAACACTTCCAGCCCCAGCATATTCAACCCCAAGCACCAAGAGCAAGAGAAGTTGCTGCGCTAAAAAAAGGAATGTGATGCAGCACTTTTGTACCTGGCTGAGTCGGACTAGTGCAAGCCCTGGTGAAGCCCCAGGGAGCTTCAAGTTTCCGTATCCAAGCTTAGCCTTGTGAAATTGCAATCCTCTAAGGCGGCACTCTGATTTGGACATGGCCTCACGACCTTCTGTTTTGTTACTTTGCATGTTCTCTTCTGTCAGTCGCGATATGCCACGCTCAATCTTCGCGCCCGGCAGCCAAACTTGATCAGTCGGCTGCTGGGTTGAGCAGCCGTATTTAGCTCCACCTGAGCCACAATCAATATTTTTGCTATGTTCTCCCACCCTTGTCAATTCTCTACATTGGTTTGAGTGGACCCCTTCACTACCAGTTTTTCATTCCAACCCACTGCAAAGACTGTACGTCTTTCCAAAGGGCCCGCGAGTTGCTGTTTTAGCCTGAGGCTTTCTTTCCTCCTTTGAATATTGCGAGCGACACAGTGACCTCAAGCTTTTGAGTGCTGCCAGCGGGCCATCAATCGGTGATAGACATCTGGGAGAGAGTCGCGGTCACGCTCTGATTGTGTAGTCTGAGGCTGGGCACTTGGTGCGCAACATCCAGATCATCAAGGCTCGCCTTGCAACATTGTTTTGACAAAACAATGATCATTAATGTTGGCTGCTGATGATGTCGGTCGTGAGCTGCGAGCATGTGTTGTACACTGCAGGGGATATCTTCTTGCTCTTTTGCTTGGAGCGGAAGACCGTGCGCAGGTCTGGCTTTGCGCAACCATCCTCAGCGTGGACTATGCAGCAAACTCGGATTCGAAGGACTTGGTATCTCAAGCACTTCGTGCGAATAATATTTTAGACAGTTTTGGGCTTAGACTTCAGCAGGCTTGTGGCTCGGCTCCAAGTTCCCCCCATAGCCAGCCCATTTGGACTAGAGCTTCGCCGCGTACGTCGTGTGCATGACGCGTGCATGAGGTCCTCAGATCAAAGGGCAAGATGCAGTTCGGCAAGCGGGAGCGCAACCACAAAGAAGGCGAAACCGAAAACCGCTGCGGTTCGACATGGCTTGAGGGAACTGCATCAAAAGCGGGGGACAGGAATCCCCACCGAAATGGTGTCCAGCAAAGGGTCCCGCGTCAAAATTCATGCCCATGTGTCGGTGGTTCATGTATTCAGATGAGAGTAGTGAACACTTTATGAATCTTGATGGGCTCTGAGAATCAGTCGCACGCGCCACATCATGCGACTAGTTTCATGATGAGCAGCCCTATTGCAGGGCCTTGTTGTTTCTTATTCATGTATGCGCTTGTTTGTTACAAAGCTACAGCGTATGCGTTTGATAACGACTTCTGCGCCCCAAAAACTGGGGGAAGGGGCAATCTATTGTGTGAACGCTAATACCTTGCCTTTCTTTTGTGTTGGCCACGGAACTTCGCAACACGTGCCCGCCACATTTCTCTGAGATATCCAAGTAAGTTGTTTTCTTGTTGGTCATGGACCGTCGCAATACAAGACGACAAATTTATTCGGCATATTGCAATTCCTTTCTGTTGATCATGGAACCCTGCAATATGTTGATCTCGATGTAATATGCCGATCTGGATAGGACCTATCGGATAGGAGCTCCGTAAGGATTCCTGTATGGCAAAACCACTTGGGTTTCGGAATTTCCGCATGCTCCACAAGCAATAGTCAAAACAGACTTGTACCAGCTCTAGCTCGGAGCAAGCTCTGGAAGCCAGCCTAAATTCAAACGGACGAGACGTGAGATAAAGCGGTGACTGCGGCAACTTGATGAAGATATTTGTCGAGCCGTGGAGCACCTAAGGAAGGGGAAGACAAGTTCCTTGAACAAAATCCAGAGGCTTACAGACCATCCCACCTGCCACCCTTTCCCCAACGGTTGCACCACACATACCGCAGGTCCTGTCACCATGCGGATGCGCTCTGACCAGGACAGAGATTTGCGCGAGTCTGACCCAAAGCGCATACTGTATTTCCTGGAGAAGACGGCAAGTACCGTTGGTCACGGAAGGCCATAGCGCACAACTATGAGGGTGCGCAATGAAGCCTATTTTTGCCGGAGAGTACCCTGACAGATGGTTGTATTGCGGTCCGTGTTCTCAAAGTGAAAACTCTTTATTTGGACTTGGATTCTGTACACAGAGTTTTTGCTCAAACTGAAGCACTGGGCTACAAACGCTTTCCAGCTGCCATCATTTTCCCATGGGGACGCTCTGTGGGCTGCTGTGGGGAGATATGTCACTTTTCCGCCAGCTTACCCAAGCATCAAGGATCATATCATATGATATTGTAAGATGTCTTGGAGTCGTCAGCCCTCTCGATGCAAAGAGGCAAGCAGCTTGCCCAGGATTGGAAGGCTGCCGCCCTGAGCTGCCTGTATGGCAGCGTGGCTACAAGTTTCACTTGGACAATACTCGTGGGTTACAGGGTCGTTCTCATGCTGTCCAACCAAACCAAGCAGCAGATGTACAGTTTCAGCCTTCAGTCAGCATCGCTTCCCGTGGCTGCCTGCCTGCTGCTCGTTTGCTGGCCTGCCTGCTTGTTTGTTTGCCTGCTGCTGTGCTCGCCTGCTTGCCTGCTTTGCATGGTGTCTTGTTGTGTTGTTTGGCGTTGCCTTGAATGCTTTGCTTTGCTTGGCTTGGCTTGGCTTTGCTTTGCTGGCTTGCATGCTTCCTTCCTTCCTTGCTTGCCGTCGGCTTTCGCTGCATTGCGTCGCATCGTGCTGCATTGCATTTGCATTGTATTGAATTGTGTTGCTGAGTGTTGCTTTGCGTTGCCTTGCTTCCTTGCTTCTTTTTCCTTGTTGTCTGTCTTTTCACGCTAGGTTGCTTGCCTGCTTGCTTGCCTGCTTGCTTGGCTGCCTGCCTGCAGCCTGCCTGCTTGTTTGCTGATTGTTTTTGGTGTTTGATGCTTTTCTCAGCATCGAATACTTGCACGTTGACGAGGTGCGCGCCTTTACCATCAGTTGGTGTGAGCAGTTGCTGAAGCTTGGGGTGCTACAGGGCTAAAAGACTTGTTGATGGCTTCTGGGTTCTTGAGAGATGGTGCGACCGCCTGCTGAGGTAAGCTTGGCATGGATGAGGCTCATCAGACATGGTTGACGCAATGCATGCAGCGAGGGCGGAACGGCCCCGACATGCGGATGATATCCTGTTGTTGCAAGGCGTAAATCTGTAGAGCAAGCGCTGTCATGAGCAAAATAGCATTTGGGCGAGTTTATTTTCACAGATGGCTTGCTCGAGGCCTTTGTGAAGTCGCATTTGGTCATCGTGGACTCTTCATACCGTTTGGACGAGGAGGCAGGCTCACTCACGTATCCATGATGTGCTAGGGCCATTTAGAGATGCCAAGAAGTGTTGAGGGATTTGTTCAGCAAAGCCCTCTGTGAAGGTACCAGCTTTGTGGTGCTTGAGGTTTCTTGAGATTCAACTTGCTGCACAAAGTTGGATTGTGGATCTGTTGGTAAGGTTTCAAATCCTCTGCCCTCTCAGGTAGAATATTCCCGGTCCTACCCTGGGCTGAAGACTGTGTACAACATCCACACGGTGAAGTGCAGGGTCAAGGCGCAAGATCGCTTTGGCCAAGCAAGATTTGCAAGCATCAGCTTTGCACTGAATTGCGAAATCTTGATCTATGTGATATGTTGCTCCGTCCGCTCCCACAAAGCTTGCCTGCTCGACCGCGACAGGATGTGGACAATCCTGAGATGTCATTCATTGGGCTTCCTGAAGGCATGGGCTCACAGAGCCGGTGTGTTCTTTTGCACAATGAAGACAGCTACAGCAGGCAAGGAGATAGCCACGGCATGAACCGATGCCCATCATCGTGAATGCCAAATGATGACCACATGAAAGCATGATTTGTGTTTGTGTACTGGCGCCTGGCGTAGGCTGCCGTTTGTGTTGCAGACATCAAGCTTACACAAACTAATTCGACAGAACGTGAATGTGCTTGCAGGTAATGATTTTGCGGTCACTCGAGTTCGTCGTGCGCTCAGCTTCATTGACAAGTGCTGGATACCAGTGAGTGGTCATGCACAGTTTTATGTGGAACAAATTGGCTTACAGCCGTTGGCATATGCTGCAGACCAGCTTTGCTTGGACGTTTGATCATTCAGGTTGTTTTTTGCATGTTTTTCACACGAAGACACAGATATGATTTTCAGTCCTGTCCAGACCAAGCTTTTGTCACGGGAGTCTGAATCAGGGAAAGATGGAGAGAGCGAGAGAGAGAGAGAGAGAGGGATAGAGCGAGACTGCCCCCAAGGACAAAGTCTGCGACCCTCAAAGAGTAGCCGAGAGGGCGTCGTCTCGACGCTGTGGTTTTGGAAGCCTAGGACCGGCAGTTGCCCGAATGAGGTGATTGAGTTTGCAACTTTGGGATTCGCTTGGAGTGACGGCAATCACACTTGCATCACACAGCGCTATTTGTTGAAGTCTAAGTAAATTGCCTTTGGGGGTCGTTCACCGAGTCGAGATCTGGCTGCAGAGTAGGCCTGATTTGCTGTTACCAGGAACCAGCTCACTGAAACCGGTGATCTGCTGTACTTTCAGCTTTCGCCTCAGGCACAGTCCTTTGTGGCTGGAGTTCAACAGCATATCATTGAGTGACGCTGCAAGCCCAAGCAAGTCCTGCTGGTACAAAACGGCAAAGCACTGTTGCGGGAGAGGGGAATGCAGAAGGGGCCTGTCAAATGCCAAACGGGGAGATTCGCAAGACAAAGCGCACCAAAGGGCTGCCACAAAGCCAAGGAAGAGTTTCACCAATGATCAGACCATGTCGGGCGAAGTCGAGGCTGGTGCGGGCAGGGGCAACACGTTGATAGATTTGGCATGGCAAGCCAAGGCTACAAGTCACAGGATGCATCTGGATTTTTCGAAGCAAGTTGAAGTTGAGCTGCAAGCGGGTAGAGGCCGAGTTTATATAATGAATAGACCACTTCCTTGCAATATATGACTTCCGAGATTAGGTGAGCAAAGCTGGTTTCTCTGCATGTGAAGGGCTCCAAGGCCTTGGACACTGCCAGATTTGTTTCAGGAGTTCACACCGATGGGAAGAAGACAGCTGGAGCCGCCCGGGGCCTGAAGGAATGCCTCATCTTGCCGATTCACTCCAGATGTCTAAATCTGGAAAGACCGCATTGATAGATTGTGGATAGAAGCTTCAGGCATTCCCTTGCTCATGGCTGGTCTGATGAATCGCACCAGCCGTTCCTACTGTTTGACCTCGGCAACCTTCATGGTATTGAGGCGCACATTCATGCAGCCTGCCTCACCAGCTGACTATGCAAGCACAACTTTTTGGTTGCCGTGACTGGACCATGCAACCTTTTCCTCTCGCGTCTGCTTGTGAGTATTGTAAGTCCAAAGTTCTGCAATGCTGCAACCATTTGCTCACGTGCTAAGGCCCATGTTTCTCCGGCGTGATGCTGAGATCCTCTGCTTGGCATGGATGTCAAAAGCCAACGTCAGACCTGACCGATCACTTGACTTCAGGCTTGGTATATCTATGTATATATATATATATCGTTTTGTCCGGACTGGGCTGATGGGGCGCCACTAGTACCTGGGATTTTAGCTCCCATGATTTCCTCCTGCACGCCGAGGCCGTCAGATCTGGACGAGAGTTCCACCTCGCCGCTCATATGCATCGCACGCTGTTGTTCAGTTCAGCATAGCGTGGAAGTCAAGGCAAGTGGGCGGCTCCTCCAAATCCAGTGTGCCCCTCCCTGTGCAAGCTTTGACCGTTCCTGTCCAGCTGCGCGGTGGACAGTTTCAGTTTGATTGAATGGGCCTCCTCGCTTGAGGCTCGTGGTGGAGGAGTTGATGCGAGGGAGGCATGGCGTTCGCACACACTTTGTTCTGGGCACTTGGACCAAGCTTAGTTGAAACTCTGACAGTGCGCACTGTTTGCCAGCACAGACTTGACACGCCTTCCGTGCCATTGAAAGGGTCGTCGTACATCCAAAATCAGCACAATGTCCATCCGTTATTCGCAGACTGTTTCATTTGTCGGGAAGAGGATGTGGCTTGTTGCAGTGTGTCGGCAGGTCAACAAACTGGTCTAGGGCACAGCGGGCTGCCAAAAGGAGGGAAGCGTGGGACCCGTGCTCATGAGGTTCTATGCTCTCTCCAGGGCATCAGCGGAATCATTTACAACAGTTTTTGCCTAACTGTTTGCATGATCTGTGTCAGCCAGTCAATTTGCATTCTGCCGTCTTGCATGAAACTTGCAGTTTGATTGAGACGGTCGCAAAATTATTTGCCACCCATTCCTGTGCAGTTGCCTAGCCGCAGTCAGCACCTGCGCTGTTTGGCAATGAGCCAAAGGTCCACTCGACAGAGCCAGGTCCACTCGGTAGCGCAAAACCAAGAGATGAACTCTTGCGTTCAAATCGGGCATGCCATGCCGGGTCATGCCGAAAGTCTGCAGGATTTTGGACCCGACGTACAACCTCAAGGGTGCAGGGCCTAGATTTTCTTCAAGGTCCTGCAGAGTGTCCCGAGTCTTGACCGCTCTGAAGATCAAGGCAACAGATGCCTTGCTTTGGACTTTAAGATAGCCCGTCAGAAGGACAAAGGAAAAAAAGGTTTAGCATTTGCGGGTGAAAGTGCATGCCCCCAGAAGACCATTTGGCCAAGGCAAGTAAGGCCTGAACCGTTTGGAGGGTTTTGGGGGTGATGTGGTGGGCCCCTAGAATAATGCCCACACGCGGAGCTTGCATACCCTCGGCTTCCAAGTTGTGAGCACCAGCGGCAGGCTTTTACGGCGACTGCTTAGCAGCTTTTCCAGAGCTCTTGCTGTATACGGCAGGGAGCTCTGGGGCTTGGGAGGAGGCTTGTGCAGAAAGGCAGACACTGCGCTGGTGCAATGAATAATTAAGCCTGTCAGAATCTTATGGCAGTGAAATGAAAAAACACACGATTGCAAGGCCGCTACAGACACTGAAATTCTGCATGATATAGCCTGCCCACGCCCGTTGTTTTTCTTCTTTTCCTTTTAGCTCAGAGCCTATGATATTTTATTCTGGGATGTCGTGGAATCCCCCAGAATTTCAGGGAATGGACCACAGAGAATCCTGACGACGCATGCCTCACGCAGTTTTTTGCGCACAGGCGGACGAAGACAGCATCTCCAGCAGTGGCCGCAGCAACAGTGAAGAGTACCAGCGCACGGTGCGCCTGCAAGTGCGTCAGGTCGCAAGGCTGCCTTGTCAATTTCAGTGGCGAGAACACCATCTCTGGGCAGTTCCTGTGTGCTGTGCCATAGAAACAACATGCTCAAATGTTGCACCTTAGCCACTTCCGAGAGAGAATGAGATGTGCCATGGCTCAGCGACGACGCGCATTTGCCTGTCACGGGGCACCAATTTGAAACAGGGCCTACAAACAAAATCCGCCGTGATGAACAACGCTGGAGGCCTAAGACCAGCTGTGCAAGCAACTTCGACAGGTGGGCGCCCTTTTCGCCGTCTTTTGGTGCATGCGACGGAAGATGGGCGGTGCCGAGTCGCCGGGAAGCCAAGTGGCTAGCCCACGCTCTTTGGGAAACCGCCTTGAGCTGGCAGCTCGTTTGCCATTTCCATCCGCATTCACTTGATTTTGCCAAACGGCAAATGTAGATTCCATGGCAAGAGCGTAGAACACAAGCTGCATGTTGGCTCGTATGTGCAGGGAGGGAGATTTGTGAGTTTGTGCTCTAGTCGCTTTCAGGTTCTGCTTCGGGGTGGACGACGAGTGGGAACCCCTGCCTCAGACCCAGTGGCTAGAAGCCTGGGGGAAGACTGAATCAAGACGAGGCTCAAACAAAGCGAGGCTCCACCGACACTCTGACACGAGGCTCAGAGAACAGTCACAAGCTTTTGGCAGCTGGCATTGCCTTCTACACATGCAGGGTTTGGAGCTTGGGTATCTGTTGAGAGCAGGTTAAGCTCACTGCAGGACACATGCCAGCCTTGCAGCATAAGTCTGAAAACGCCAATAAGTGCAAGAGTCGTAGCAAAAATCCCCTTACACTACAGATGATTTCTGCTTGCTCAATACTGTGGATGGACCAATTCCAGCACCAGTTGGTAGGTCCCATTTTTCACAGGGTTCCATCCATCCCAACTGGTGCAGGATTTTGTACACCCCGCAAGCCAGTGGCTGGACCCTGCTCTGGATCCCGTGATTCGTTGCTTGAACTCTGAGGAACTCTTGGTCAAAGCAACCTCGCCGCAAGCCGGAGGAGATAGCCAAGAGGTCAGCCCGATTTGGTTGTGAGCTGCGTGATGTTGAATGTGGAGGCCACTATCATGTTTGTTTGAGTGAAACGACGGATCAGCAACATCTTGAATGTTGCACAATAGCAGTGCTGTGTTGCCTGTATGCACGAAGGCTAGCCTCCGCTAGCTGCAGTTTCTACATGCGTAAGCAAGTGCATTGGCTGAATCCCCACTTATTGATTCCATCAAGTTCCATCAAAAATTCCCCCCCCCCCCTCTAAAAGCCCCCTTCCCCGTGTCGTAGGTTTGCCCCCCTGATCCAACCCCCCCCCCAACACAGGGCCCAGGCTTCCATGGCAGGAAGAATCTGACAGTTCCACTGTTTTGAGAGCCTCAGCAAGACGTGGATTTCTCAACCGCACAAGCAAGTGGGTGCAATCTTCAACCTTGGATTCTATAGCTTTGCGTTCGCAGAATCAATAGTGCTGTTCCTCCCCCCCCGCCCCCCAAAGGAGCCTTCAGGTTCTA